ATTGTTTACATTATAAATTGTAAAAATTTAAGATCATGTCACGTGTCAAATATTTTTAAAATAGTGATTTAATTATGTCAAATATATAATTATAGATCTAATGATAGATAGAGTCGTGTTGGGTTTATTTTAACTAAAATTTAAGAGTTGTTTTCAATTATGGATATGAGTTGGCTGATAATGAAACATGTGGTGAAATTTAGAAGAAATTCTCACTTTGTTAACTACTAAAATGTCCCACTTCTTCACGAAGTTGCCCATGATTCAAGTAATTGCATGGAGAGGGAATTGTAAGTAGGGAAGAGGAGAACAAAAGGAAAATTTTTTATCATTTAATACATAGTGAGCCCTATACGCGACCTAACAAATTTTCAAACTTTTAATTTCTTTGCGATTGATCGCTTTAGCTTATAGATTTCAAATTTCAACACAATTTCAAGTAGATTTAGGTCATTTTTCATCATTCCAATAGTCAAATTAGTTTGTGTATTTACTTCATCAATTTTGTTTTATGAAATGAACATCAAGTTTTGAATTTCTGCAAAGTACTCTTCTTTTTTTTACTAGCATTAGTTTAATATTTAAGATAAGTAGCGTTTCATCAAATAATTACTTATATAGTTTTCATGCTTCTTCCCGATTTTAAGCATGTTAATTTAATCTCTATTCGTATTTGTTTTAGTGTTATTTAATATTAGATTTTCAATTCTATAATAGTTTAATTTCTAAATCTATCTTTAGATAGCAGTTTAATCTAATAATAAACATATTTAATTTAATTTGAATATATATTGTTCTTACAAGTTTACTTTAATTTACATGTCATTTAGTTTACTTATAATCTATTAACTTTGATTTATGGTAGTGTTTAAGTTTTTGAAGCTGTTCAATGCAGGTTTAGTAACTTATTCTCTAAAAAGGCATCCCTCCCTCCCTTCCTCTTGTAAATCATTTGTAGGTGTAGATTTTAATCTTAAACCAGCATTCTTCCCGCTATCCATAGAGGATCATTGGAAAAATCCTTATTTCTTGCTTTCAGCAAAGTGAATGGCATGCCCGTGTCAAAATTATGCACGTGCGATGTCAAAATTATGCACGTGCGAAACCATTTGAGGAGTTTTGAAAAAACAGTAACTCTACTTGTTAAGTCCCTCGATAATTTACATCTGTCGTGGCTCTTTCCTCTGCCTCTTTGAGTTTTTCTATCTCATCTGGAGGTTCTTCGAGTAGTTCTTCTTCAACAGATGGCAATTCTTCCACCCTTGCGTGATCTGTATCTCTTTCTTGTTGGACTGTATCAGGCTCAACAGTTTCTGTTTCTGGATATGCTGTTGGAATAACAGGATGTTCTGCCCTTCAGCTTCTTCCAATTTCCCCGAAATGTATCCTTCATGTTCTTTGCCATTCCTCTTATCAACTGCACTTTGAGGTGTCCCCAGTTCCTCTTCCAATCTCCCTCCTTTTCTCTCTTTCCTGAACCTCCTCACATTGCTCTTCATTGCTTTCCTCTCTGTCTGCATTGCTTTGGATATCTTTCACCATGGCTTCTTCTTTCCTGGGGTTCCTCTTCCTTCTCTTCCTCAATCTCAAACCCACAAATCCCTCCAATCCTTTTAGGCATAGTGATTTTCAAAGTGGTTTCTCCCTCATTATACTTGGCCATAATTCGATCCAAATCCACCACATCTAGTATCTGATAAACCTTCTTATTGCCCTTAATTCAACCCCCTTCTTGCTCATAATCCACCCTCTCAACACCATCTCCTGGACTGGCTTCTTCCCACTAACCATGATTCCCTTCTTTGTTTATCTTAATATGAATGTTTTCCCTTCTAAAACTGCACCAGTTTCAAAAAACATGAATCACT